AAGAAAAAACCCTACAAAGAATGTTCAATAATGAATCAGGTATTCAAGTGAAGCTTGCTAATATTTGAGAAATAAAACCTAGTTTTCATTATTACTTGATATAAGAATACCTACTGCAATAAGGTTTAATAAGGACTGTTATACATCTTCATTATTATTACTTTTGACTTTCAGTAATACCTACAGTGACATCTTAACCTAATCTGAAGAGCTTAACCACCTCTATATCTGCCATGCCATGAGACAATGTCTTCATCAATACTATAAAATGCTTCCATAATCTAGTCACATTTATTTTTGCTTTTAACTTTAAAATAACTACAGCATTTGGTTTGAAAGTCAGTACAGTATGTCAGTAGTCAGTCAAAAAATGACCATCTGTTTTCCATTACATTAACAAACCAAAGTCCCAAAAACAACAAAATAAAACAGACATCCTGACACTTGTATAATTTTCTTTGGTAAAGTATTATTTCTTTCGTTTTATAAGAAACGTTGTATGTAGTGTAAATACAAATAAATATATTATTAAATATGTTTACCTTTTAATAACATACCGACATAACCTCAATCTTACTTTTTCTTCTTATTGTTTTTTGGGGCTACGTCTACATGTAAACTGTTTTTATCGTCTATTCTATTTTGTTTCATTTCAACGATGGTAAAATACAATTTAAGATGATAACAACAAAACAAAAAACTCAATTTGCAATATGGCGTCCCAGTGGCCCCAATCTAAATCAAACCCATAAGGTAACTCCCATATATAAAGTTTTAGAAGAGTTTCTAACGCCAAATACAGATGGGCCGAAACTAATTTCATTTGGCTGCAAATTCAAAAAATATGCTCTGAATTTTAGGCGCCAAAATTCAAAAGTATGTTTTTAATGGAAAGTAAATATAGTCATAAAATAAGAAATAAAAACTTATTCTATACCAGAAAATATATCCTCTCTGTCCAAAAATATAGTATACACCTACACATTTTTATATATATAAATGTATAACATAATATCTGATACAGAGATAGTATATATTATGGTACAGGAAAGTTTTTATTTAATATTTTATGATTATATCTGTTTTCCATTACATTAACAAACCAAAGTCCCAAAAATAACAAAATAAAACAGAAACACCCTGACACTTGTTTATTTGTATAATTTTCTTTGGTAAAGTATTGGCAACAAATATCCTCCTCCTCCTCGTTACTTAAGCCCTTGTTAAGGTGTGGGTGGAGACACTAAATATCGTTAACTTGCTGTCTCCATTGGCTGCAATTCTGTACCAGATGAACAACTTCGTGAAGTGATTTTTCCACCAATCTTCATTTAATCTTCCCATCATGTTGTAAGATCCTCATTTTGATATACAAATATAGATACCTCTATATTTATTAGCAATGGTTTGTAGTAAGTTACATACCTTCTAAAATACTTTTCCTTGAAGTACCATATGTACATAATAAAGTGTAAACCCTAGCATGTCTGCGATCTTGCTCTTCAGAATTATCACAAATTGGCATGCGACTCAATGTAACTGTTACTCAGAAGTAGAAGATCCATGAAAATCTAAAATAATGAAATATTATTAAAATTAAGAATGTATTGACTTTTTTTTATAAAATAAGGCCAATTTTAGGAATGCAGTGATAAGAGTTAAGAGTTTTAATGAGTTTAAAATCTATACAGTATATAAATATAAGATTAATGTTAGTTAAGATTGAAAGGTAAATTAACTAGAAAAACAAAATAGTATCAAGTTTATATTTACTAAAAGTTTGATATTGTTAGGTGCTGTTCTTACCTGGTGCTTGTAAAAATAAACTCCTAATCCTCAGAATGTTTAATAGTCATTTGTCCAACTTTAACTTTCACCCATCAACAAAAAATATTCTTTGGAAATACTATACCATTTTGGTAATGTACCTTCTTCTTTAGCAGGTCTATTAGATATATAAAATTTGATATATACTGTTTTTATCGTCTATTTCTAAAATTTGGGATACGATTATTGTAAACAGTGTGGTGTAGAATTGTTTAATCTTTTCCTCAATGTCAACCATTATGAAAAAAAGTCCATTTCATTTTTTGGGTTTGGAAAACGAAATCGACTGTTTGTGTAGTCGGTGCAACCATGAACATAACATTTTTTTACCTTTTATTCTATTTTGTTCCATTTCAACGATGGTAAAACAAAATTTTTAAAATTAAGATGATAATATCTAAAACCAAACACAAATCTGAATTTGCAATATGGCGTCCCAATCCCAATCTAAATTAAATTTCGCCACCGCACATGCGTCTTCCGCTATATTCTACCTCCCACCTAACGTGACTAGTAGCGCCGCCGCCATTAAGAACGGATGGGCCCATGCAAAACACTATCCCCTCCCGTCCTATTCTACTTACACTACTATTGGGTATGTATTGTGATCAAACCACAGAACACTAGTATTCTGTGATCAAACCAAATCAAACTTCGCCACCGCAGACCGCACATGCGTCTCCCGCTATATTATTTATACCCCCCACCCCACCTAACCTAACGTGACTAGTAGCGCCGCCGCCATTACGAACGGATGGGCCCATGCAAATCACTCTTCCCACCCGTCCTATTCCACTTACCCTACTATGTAGGTATGTATTCAATGACGTAATATACGTCATTGTATGTATTGTGGAAAATGACGGATGACGGATGGCTTGCAGCGCACTGAGGCTCATTTCAAACGGTTATTTTGGGAACTAAAATTTTGACGTGTCTATACAACCAATTTACGGAAATTTTTTATATCAACAATTACCTGTTAAATATATATTAAATATCGTTATGACGTGTATTTTTTATTATACTTATGTATATATATATATATATATACATATATATAACATATATATATATATATATATATATATATATTATATATATATATATATATATATATATATATATATATATATATATAATATATATATATATATATATATATAATATAAAATATATTCCTTTGTTTTTTATTTATTATATAATAACATTATCCTGCTTAAAATTAATGTCATTTTTTTACTTCGGATTATTCAGTTGTATAGACACTCAATAATTTCTGGTATAATCGGTTACTTAATTAATTAAACTTAATTAGTTAACCATGACCATGAATATATTAATTATCCATGACTTTATTATACCTTAAACCTCGTACATAAGTACATAAATCGGTTGAGTTTACCGAAAGTACAAGCTGATTATAGCCGCAAATGTCAAACATGGAACAAAAAATTTTGATTATTTTTGTTAGCATGTTTTTATAATGTAGATGCTGTATGCTTCAAATATAAAAGGATAAAACTTTAGAGTACATTTTGTTTATATAATGTCATAAATTCTACAATTTTTGATTTGTATATAACAAGAATGAGCAATAAGTTTGTTAAACTGCGGTATAGGCAACTATAATCACAGTAAGTAGTAGATATTGCCGAAAATGTGGCTGACTCTTAAAAAAGGTACAGAATAAATATGAATTGGTCATAGGCTGAAAGGAAAACAGGATAATCTCTGAAATGCAGAATAACACACCTATAATGAAAGAATAGACAAATAGTATAGTGAAATTTTTACTTTACACACCTTTAATATGACTTACATTTGTTTGATGTCTGGAGTCAATAATAATATGATCTACCATGATCACCATGAACCCATATTACCTTACTATTCTTTTTGCGTCGAATACAAATATTTACAATAACTATATTAAGAGAAGTCGCTAGTTTTTTTATTTAGAAATTACAGCCGCATCCACCATAATGGTTATTAGCGGCGGCTACAGAACCACATACAGTTTAAGAAATTTACAATATTACTAGATGAAAAATTAGTGCCTAATAAATTACTTAAACTGTTAGGTATGTTAAATGTAACACGACAATTGGCAAATCTGTGGCATTCAATTAATAAATGGTTAGCGGTAACTTGTACATTACATGTCTCACAAATAGGTAGATCACTTTTGGACAATAAATATGAGCGAGTAAGTCTGGTGTGTCCAATTCGTAATCTCGTTATCACCAATTGTTCTCTTTTGTTCTTGGTTCAGGGTTCCCAAGCTGTAACGTCATTTTTAATTTGCTTCAGTGATGTTTGAGAAGATTGCCATTCGTTTTTCCACTTGCACAAAACTCAATTTTTTATAAAAGCTTTTAAATCACTCGCGATATTTCGATACCTGGCTTTTTCTATATCGGCACATTTAGCAATTTCACTCGCGCACTGGTCCGCACTTTAGTTGCCAGCAATGACAATGTGGGATGGAATCCATATAAATCTGATATTCCTAGAATTTTCTTGAACCTGCATGAGTTCTAGTTTTATCAGTTTCTCAAGGGGACCTTTAGGATAGATCTGTTTAAGGGTTTGAAGGGCGCTTAGTGAGTCACTTAAGATAACAGAGTTAGAAATGTTATTAGAATTTATATGCCTGATAGCTTTAAACACTGCATAGAGCTCAGCGGGGAAAATCGAAAAGAAGGTTGGAAGACGAAATTGATATGTATCGCTTGGAGTAGCGAATGCAGCAGTTTTATTAACTTAATTCCATTATCATTAGATATGTCATGCATATTGTGTTTGCCTATGGTTGGCCTGAATTGTTGCTTGTTTTATTTCTGCATTGAAGTCACCGTAATTATTTTGACATGTTTTTTGGGCTTGTCTGGTATGCAGTTTCTAATTTATCGTACATTGTCTCCCCATGGAGCTAAAGACTAGAAGTTTCTACATTGTGAAACGACTCATGCCATATCCTCCAATGCTATGGAATGCCGTACGAGCCATACAGGCTGTAGTCAACACCCCGAGGTATAAGATTAATGGAATCCGTAATGAAGACAGATACTATTTTACACTCATTGGTCTTTTAACTCTTTCTTGGAACTAGAGAAAGGTTGTTTGTAAGTTCTAACTTTAGAATAGAGCTTTGAAATAAAAAAATGGTTATCAATTGCAAATTTATTTGTTATATTTTACACATTTGTTACATATGTTATCTAACATGTTTTTATGCAGAACAAGATTGGGGAATTTCCAATTGAACCTTCTTGTCTTCTTGTTTGTGACTGAAGTCAGGGCTTCCTCCATTATCGATTTGTTTTTTCCATAATTTAGCTACAACGGTATTTTTTATACAATGGGCAGGAACCTTCTTGGTGATGTAACCTTGAGCTTGGCAGCGGTTCTTGCAAGTGGGTACAACTTTGGTAGTGAAGCAAATTTCTCCATCTTGTTCTACATATCTGGTTTGATGTTGGGTGCATTCGTTTTCTGTTGATTCTTCTGCATCTTTCCAGTCTTTGGTATCTACTTGTCTAATAACATTAATGTAGAGTGGCATAGTTCTATCTACACATTCATCAGATTTTCTGGAGAATTTTTGTCTCACTTGTTGTCCTGCTTGCCCTTCAATTTCGTAGCTTTGTACGAACTTTTTGGGGTTGCTGGAATAACAGTTTTGGGGTGTTAAGGAATCCTCGTTTTGTTGGTCATTAAATTGACCGCAGATACCTCTTGTGGCACCTCTAAGCATGTCAGAGGTGGCTTCAAGTTTCACACGATCTCCATCATAAATCAAATCGAAACTGTTTTGTACTTTAACCTTAACTTCTCCATTAAGAAGGGCGAATACTTGAATAAGACCATTGCTAACATCTTGACTATCACCTACACTGATTTCTACTTGTTTTCCATTGATAGTTACACTTCCCTTAGCTTGTGTTCGCTGTTGTTCATCAGGTTTCAAAGTAATTTCAACTATTTCGAAGTTAGTTTCGGGGTTGCTCAGAAGTATTTTAACATCTTTGCCCTTTGATGATTCTTTGGAATCACGAACCAAAACTACCAAGTTGTGGGTCTGTGATTTTAACTGCTTTTCAACGGAGAAAACTTGACGTTCATTAGACCGACGAGGAAGTAATTGTGCAACTAAAGTCCATTCTTTTGAGATGGATGCCGCGTAAGTCCAGTTGCTGAAGGTGGTAATTTGTGTTTGGTCGATAACACACACAGCTAAAATATAATGTTTGTTATTAATATTTAAAACATAGAACTTTAAAAGATTTGAAGAAATAATGTAAATGTATTGTATACATATATCTATATCAGATTCATTCCATCATAATTATATATACATATATTAGCCCCAGTAAATCGACTATGAATGAACGGCTTATATTGGAGACTTCCCATGTTATTTCTTATACGTCATAAATATAAGGTTCTGTTTGTTCATTAAAATTCATTTTTCATTAAAATTAAATGAGGCAATAGCGGATATCACGGTAACATCTAAACAACTGGCAAGTACAGAACACAAATGGAATTGTATTAAAAAAGCTATCGTAACCACCACCAAGTCTCTGATCACTTCCCCAAAGTACAAGAGGAATAATTGGATGATTGACGAAATATTATAAATTATGGACGACCGCAGATCATTTAACAAAGACCGAACCAAACATCATCAGATTAACCGACAAATACAAAAAGAGTGTCGCAAAGCTAAAGAACAGTGGCTACTAGACAGGTGTGTAGAAATGGAGGAATTGGAAAAAAAAAAACATTACCACTTTAACATATATAAACTCGTTAAGATGTGACAGATCATACAAAACCTTGCATTTTAACAGTATTGTGAAGGACAATAAATGAATTACTGATCCCAAGAATCTACTTCAACATTGGAGAAACTACAGACAGAAACTCTGAAAGTGAATATAAAAGTGAACCCTCCCCCAAAATATTGAAGTCAGAAGTTATAAGGGCAATCAAACAGACCAAATGGGGAAAAGCACCAGGCCCAGACGACATATACATATATGTTCTAACAACGTTGAGAGAAGACAATATAGACGCCTTGGTAGATCTTTTTAATGGCATTTATGGGTCCGGTTAAATACCACAGTAGGCTTCAATCAACCTTTATACCAATCCCAAAAAGCCAAACGCTAATAGTTGCGACCAATTCCGAATGATCAGCTTATTGAGACAGGTCCTAAAACTCTTCTTAAAGATAATTTACACAAGAATACACAACAGATGTGAAAGAGACATTAGCACCACATAGTTCGGTTTCAGACCAGGATTTGGCACAAGAGAAGCCCTTTATAGCTTAACTGTCCTACTTTAGAAATGCAGAGATCAGCAAGAAGATGTTTTTCTATGCTTCATAGATTACCAGAAAGCGTTCGATTGTGTTAATCATTCAGAATTAGTAAGAATGCTCCAGGAACGTTCGATAGATGAAAATGACCTTAAGATCATAAAGAACCTTTATATGAATCAAGTGGCATCTGTGAGAGTAGGACTGGAATCTACATCATATTTCTCAATCGAAAAAGGTGTACGACAGGGTTGTGTTCTGTCACCCCTTTTTTTTAATCTTTACTCTGAAACGATTTTCGATAGAGCCTTAAGTGACACTGAAGACGGAATCTAAATCAACGGACAGACTATTAGCAATCTTGGCTTAAATACTCATGGCTTAAAAACATAAGGGATTGGACAAACCTCGATGCACACGCACTCTTTAGAGCCACATAAGATCGAGAAGAATGTCACAATTGTCGCCAACATCCACTAATTGGATAGGGCAACATAAGAATAAAAATCAGAAATAATTTGGAAATTTTTCCCCAGAGAGGTTGTTTTCTTATCGTGAAAGTTTCTTGTAAATCAACGATGTATTTACATTAATTCTCACAATGATGTACTGAATAGTTAAAATAATAATTTAAAGGTTTATACTTACGAGTAATGGTATCAATTTCCAAAACTTTGGCCATTGCGCGTCTTGAAAGTGAGTATGATGGGTGAGGTATTAACACCTTAGCGTACTCGCTGAGTTCAATGTCTCTAAAAGTAGTTTCTTCTCTGCGAGTGGCGACAGAAATGTTGGCTGATTCTAAATCTTCGTTTACGCGAGCTTGTACCTTGATGTGGCCCTTAGGTTGGGATTGTCTACGGTTGATTTCAATACTTGGGTAATATTTGAATTTGTAATGATCGAACAAAATCTCAATAGCATCTTGAACGGTAGGATCCACATTATCATATTTCAGATCCATGTCAATTTTGTCTAAGAAATGAGCTTCAGTAGTCATGTTGACACAAGCTGGTGACTGGTTGTTTCCTACTCTCATGTCACGTTGACACTGTTCGTACATTGGCTGTTCTTTCAAATATTCCTTACGTTTGTCACTTCTAGATGCTCTAAGGTCTGCTTTGATGTAACCGCTTTTGTCATTTACTGAATGGAATGTTACGTCTACTTCGGATTGCGCTCTAGGTTCAATTTTAAAAGCATCTTGCAGATTCAAGGAATTTGTGTTTCCAACTTTGTTGACTGCTTCTAATTTTATCTCAGTTGGTTTTCCATTTTCATTGTCGTATTTATAGTAGGCGTATACGCGAGATTTTGGATCGACGTTGCTGCTTGCGATGGCCCCAGAAACAACGTATTTGACTTGTTTTGCACCTTGGAATGTAACTGAAGCATCAACTACTTGAGCTTGAACGTTCTTAATCTCAGAAGCGGCTCCCTTTAACAAATGTTCTCTTCTTTCAGATGACTTGGAAGCTTGAGCTATTTGCTGCCAACTAAGAGGTTGGTTTTCGCCTTTTTTACTGTAACGTTCATCGTATCCTAACTGAACTTGGATTTTGTTTACGGAAGATTGCTCAGGTAAGTATGTAATATTGAGTTCACTATATTGGATGTCAGCGTCATTCCACAGGTTTCTTAAACCATCTAAAACTCCTGCCATGCCCCTATTGTAGAAGAATTGCATATCAGACATTTTCAAAGTATTTTTGTCGTGTGCCATTTGGACGTGGAAGGCCAAACCAGGTTCTTTCTTGCCAACAACAGTATCAACGACACGGAGATTGTTTGGTTTGATATATTGACTATGCTTTTGAGCAATTAATGTTCTGAAATCCATAATGTTTCTTCTGGACGTGTAAGGCCAGGTACTGTAGTGAATCAAAGGAGCATTCCTGTGGATTTCTTTAGGTTCGATGTTGAGTTTCATCTCGTTTTCTTTTAGATTAAGTTCAAAAGTTCCACTGACGGGTACATGCACCTGCATCATTTTATCAAATCCTGAATAGTACTGTTGACGGTCAAATGGTGTTACAAACGAAATATGACCTTGAACTTTTCTGCCAATAGTAATACCGAGTTCGGATTTGATTTTAATCAAGTCTGGTGTTTGGATCTTTCCATTTTGTGACATTTGTGGCTGAGCAGCAGCTCTTATCTTACCAGCTACTCTAAAGAACATTGGTGCATCATAGTTGAATACGAAAGGTAGACCCATTTCAGTTGGAATGGCTACGATAACGTCGTCTCCGTTTATCAGTTTGACGTAGTTCATTTCTCGTTCAGTGTTCAGTTCTTTTTCTAAACGTTCAAGGGCTACAAAAATAATAAACTGTTAATATTGGTACAAAAATAAATCTAAGTGAAAATGAACAGCAATATAAATGAGAAGATAAAAAAATAGTTAACGTGATATGTAAAGAGGATGAGAAAAGACATCTCGTATAGGAGGATATTAGAGTGGATGCCTCCAGATAAAAAAAAAGAAAGTACGTACACTGAGAAGTTAACGTGCCTGTATCTGGAAGAATTCTTAATAGAGGGTTGGTTGCGAGGAATATGAAAATTGGTGTTTAGGAGACTCTATATTAGATACAAAAAGATTAAAAGCAACAGCAAAAATAACGTAAACAAAAAAATAAACCATAGCAGAATGGTACAATGGAAATGGGTCATACAAGGTAGCAACTTTTTAAAAAACACAACGGAGGGCAAATAAAATACGCAGAAGAAAAGAAAGAATATTAGAAAATGATAAAAAATAAAAAATGAAACAGAACCTTAGACCTATTGATTTAAGAGAAGCATATAAATATCTTAGGAAATAAGAGGACAAGTTTGTACAGAAACCAAGAAAGAGAGATAATTAGCGAACCAACACAAGTAAAATCAGTTTGGAAAACCGATTTTCAAGTTCTGCTAAGAACACAAGAAAATTACTATTCTTTGGATTTGCGAATGAACAAGGAAGGCAACATAGGTGCAAAGAAACAAATCATCCTTTCGAACTGTTTAAATTAGGTGGGGAACAAGAAACGATACTTATATTTTTAGTAGTTATTTTGATATGTCGGCAGGGGTATTTCTAGCATTTTTCATAAAAGTACCAGCCGAAACAGGTGTAATCTTTAATAAGAGTCTTCGCCAACTTTATTTAAAATGGCATAAAGCTATTGAAGAGTGTTAGAGGTGCAAATTGATGCTAAACTTTTCTATAGACTTATGTTTAAATGTAGATTTTGAGCCAATCTGATGAGTAATTATTAAATGTACAGTACAATAACTAAAATGAATCTACCTGCTGGAAGTTGTTGAGCAGTAAGATTACTGAACGAAAACATTTTGTATGGGGAGTTGAAATCCATTAAGAACACGCTTCCTTCAAGTTGTTCACGAGCTTCGGCTTTCATGTCAAGAAGGCGTGCAATACTTTGGCTGGACAGAGGGTTTTGTTGCTGTTTATCTGACCTTTGGTTCTGTCTATCTGTTTCTTGTTGGTAACCTTGACCTAGTTCTCCTAATACCTGTTTAAGTTGTTCAACGCTGGACAATAAAGCGTGAATATTTATTCTTTGATTTCTTATACCACCATTGTTGGACCTCAAAGCGTATTTCATTCCAAGAGGGTAGAATCTTTCGCTGTTTCCGTACATTTGCACAGTTTGTTTGTACTGGAGACCAAGTTGGTTTGCGAAATAATTCTTGATATAATTTGCTGCTTGGTGAACTCCGTAAGATTTTTCGGTCAGAAGAGGCTCGGCCATCTCTGCTGCATATTGCCTATAATAAATCAAAATATACATTAGAAACTTTTTAGTAACAGAGGAAAAAAAGAAAATTTGCTTAAAATAAACTAAATAAACATAAATGGAAAGAAACTAAACCATCTAAGATATGCAGACGATGTAGTAATAATAACATCAAGTTTTGAAGAACTACAAACTATGCTAACCGAACTAGCCAAGGAATCTGAACAAATAGGCCTAAAAATGAATTTTACCAAAACGAAAACAATGACAAACACACAAGATAATAGAAACGTAATACTAAATGGAATCACAATAGAAGCGGTTAATGATTATATATATTTGGGACAGATAATAAAAATAAATAAGGAAAACCAAACAGCGGAGGTAAAAAGAAGAGTCAGATTAGCCTGGGCAGGATTTGGGAAATTAAAATGGGTCCTAAAGAATAAGAAAATACAACAGTACTTAAAAACAAGAGTGTTTGACCAGTGCATACTCCCAATTCTCACATACGCATGCCAAACATGGACTCTGACCAAAGCAAACATGGATAAGATAGTGAAGACACAAAGAGCCATGGAGAGAGCAATGTTGGGAGTAAAATTAAAAGACAAGAAGCAAAACATCTGGATAAGAAACAAAACAAAAGTCAAAGACGCAGGTCAACATATAGCCAGGCTAAAATGGAGTTTCGCAGGTCATAACGCCAGACAAACAGACAATAGGTGGAACAACACGATACAACAATGGAGACCATGGACAGGAAAGAGAGCAAGAGGACGACCCCAGATGAGATGGGGAGATGACATTAGAAAGATAGGAGGAATACACTGGAAACAGAAAGCACAAAACAGAAGCGAATGGAGGAAACTGGGGGAAGCCTATGTTCAAAATTGGACGAATTAAAGGGCAAAAGAAGAAACTAAGAAAGGGTAAGTAGGTTTTGACATCCACAACTTTGGAATTGCAAACAGTCTCTTAATCAATTGACAGGGCATAAGAAAGTAATTTTGTTGTAAGTATTAATTAGATTGCTGATAATCGTATTAAAGAAAGAGTCAATACTTAATTTACAGGACCAAAACCGTTGTGCGATGTACCGCACAAACCAGAATATCTGATAATTTAAAAAGGAATTTATTGTATCTTTTCTGGGAAAAAATTACAAGGTAAAGGCTAACAAAAAAAAAATTTCAACATTCTACTCTTTTCGCAAAAATACTCTTGAAACTTCAAAAGACTGAACCCAAAATAATCAAAAGTGTTTCCACTGAACACTTCCACTGAGATACCATCTCGATCAAATGATCTAAATGGACAGAAGCACCACAAAGATGAACAAAAATACTGAAGGAACGGCCAATATCATGGGACTAGCACAAAATTAAACTGTTACATTGATAAATATTGGAATTTTTTCTAAATACATCACACCATCATACCAATAATGAAACAACATTACAAAAACTGAATAAAAAATAATCATAATACTTACAAATCTCCGAATTCCCCAGTCTTTAAAGCTGCAGCGTTTTGGATTGAACTCTTAACAGCTGCATTGACTTGTTCTTGAGTGTCAACTTTGGTGTAAGCTGCCATAAGTTGGAGCATTTCTCTGGTGGGTTGAGCGCGCATCAATTGGAAAACAGCGGCAGTCCTGACTGATTGAGTTTCAGCGGAATTCTGGTAAATTCTAAAGAGAACGATACGAGCAACTTCTGGATAAGTCTTGACTAATTTATCCATGGAAACAACCATTAAAGCTCTTTGGAATTGAGAACATTGCTTTTTACCTTCCAAGTAAGGCTCAAATGCTTGAAGAATTTCTGGAACACCAATGTATCCCAAAGCACGAATGTTGGCGTGTATTTTGTTTGGTTCGTTTTGAGCAATAGCCTTATCTAGAGATCGACGGAAGTATGGAATTACAACTTCTTTAACAAACTTAAATCCTTCTTTATCTCTTAAGTTCTTGAAACTCTTTGTTGGGAAGTTTGTCTTATAATAACTATCGTCGACATATACTTGCCGGATAAGTTCAGTGAAACTTTGCATGGCTGTTTCGTTTAATGGCCATTGAGAAGTAACAATTGGTTTCTTAATCAATTCAAAGAAAACTTTCATGAAATGTGTAGTAGGGTGTTGAACAGAGTTAGCGAATGAAGCGATAACGTGAGCAGCTTCTTGTCTGGCAATAATCTTGGATTCAATCCAGCTTTCAAGGATTAGCAAAGCAGGGTGACTTCCAGACTCAGCTAGTGCATCACGTAAAACTTCCCAAGCAGCTCGTTGTGAGGGGTCTTGACGATCAGAGGACAAACCTTTTGTGACTTTTCTTAACTCTTCTTCATCCAAGATGCGGATCAATTTGATCATATTAACAAATTTAGCAAGAGTGTTTTCTTGGAGAGACTTGTTGGGGTCTTGTAAGTCAGTGCTGATTTCCTTGGCCAAATTTACAATTGCGCTAGGAATGTCAGCCTCAAGCTTTACTGATTTACCTCTGTTTCCAATGGTATAGGGTAAGAAAGGATTTTCAGCGGCTTTATTGATTTGAGGAGCTTCTTGTTGGTAATCTTCGAAGTTAAACTCCTCAGCGTCGAAACTTGCACCAGCACCAAAACGCAGAAAGTGGAGTTTTGGCAATGAGAGCCATTGGCGAGTAGCTGACGGTTTCTCAACAATTTCGGTTTCATCAGAACGGGAGAATGGTTTTCCATAAGCATAGACAAGACCTCCTAAACGAACAGGTTTAGTTACATCTTCCATGATTTGACCTTGTTGATTTATTTGTTCTAAGGTAGCATTGAACATACTAAATACAGATCCTTGTTGTTGATCAGAAAGAGTTGGATTGACTGAGATCTCGTTAAGTGTGAAAGAATTCTGAATAGTGAATTGTCTAAGGTTTCCTGTAACTAAAGCTCTTGTCATTGTGTTTCTTACGAAGAATTTACCCATGGTGTTAGCAGCTGGGATGTTTTCGTCAACGTTTCCTAATCCATAAATAAATGCTGGGGATTCAGCACTATTGCTATAGTTTTTGTGTTTTACAACTTCTAAGATTTGGTTACCATCTTCTTTTATTTCTTGAAAATCAGGTACAATGCCTGAGTTGACAAGCAAATGTGCAGGTATTGGGTTGATTTCATACAAAGTTTCGGTGTTACCGCTTACGGTTTCTTCCATGAGTCTAAACATAGCAGAATCAGAGCGGTCGTCATTTTTAGAAGCAGAGGCTTTGTTGAGGTTCATTTGGAACTGACTCATAATACCTTTAATAATATTAGCTTCCCAGTTACGAACACCTTGGTTAACAATAACATCGGTTATCCCACCATGTTGAATTTCAACTTGGAAAGGTTTCTTAGACATATCCAAAGGCTTCCAGCTAACTTCAGCGCTTGGAATGTAAGTCATAGGACCCTCAGAGAGCTCAGAATGAATTTGAGCATATTGAGGATTAACCAATTGACATTGTAATTTTCCATCAGGCCTTGGTTGAATCTTCAGTGAAGCTTTCATTAAGATTCCAGAGAATTCATTGGCCAAGTCGAGACTGGCAAGGGTACGTCCAGATATTTTGTACACATACTCCTTTTTGTCTTTCCAAGCCGGAGAAGAGGAGGCGGAAATAAGTCCAACTGAAAAGAATAAAGATAAATATTAATAATAGAGCAAAACAGAATTCTTCAAGAATGGAGATCAAACATCCTAATACCTCTCTTTAAAAAGGGAGACAAATCGGACCAGAAACAAAAAGAGAAATTAGTTTATTATTTATTAATCACAATACTAAAATTAACAACCAAAATGATAACAAATTAGCTGAATGAAATTATAACATTAGCAGAAGAATTAAAAGGTTATATGTCGGAAAGAGCATGTACCGACACTCTATTTATATTGAGGCAAGTGCAAGAGAAATCATTAGAATACAACAAACCGACATATCTATGGACCTTAAGAAGGCATTTGACCGGGTCAAATTAGAGGTCAATATCCACTTATTGTGCACAAGAGAGATACTTTTAGGAATAATCAAAACGATAGATACGTAAAAATGATAGTCAAAGTAAAAGAAGAACTAACTGACCCTATTGAAGTTGGCAATGGGATAAGAGAGGGGATTCCTTAGTCCTCGTTTGTTTAGCCTGATTATGGATAAAATAATAAAAAAACTAGGAACTAAAAAAGGATATCAAATACGCAATACAACATTGCGTGGTAGATTGATGGTAAAATACTATGGGACTGGGTAAGAAGGGCATCAAGGACTGGGTAGAAAATAGAATGGAATGATCATATAAGCCGAATGACAATAATTAGAGTAGTAAAGATGGCAATAGATGAATCCCCAATAGGAAAACGATCAGAAGGAAGACCACGAAAACGATAGAATGACAACTTAATGGAGGCACATTGAAAAACAAGAGTCATGTCTATATAAAAAGAAAAAGAAGAAGAAGAAAAGAATAGAGATACATATTTAATAGACAGTGAAAGTCAATTTGGTTTTATAAATGGTATTGGCACTAGAGCTGCTTTATTCACAATGCAAGTATTGATACAAAAAGTCTCGATCAACAGAGGAAAGTCTTCACATTTTTATAGAGTATAAGAAGGCATTCGATAATGTAATGTACGACCAACAATGGAAAGTATTTGCCACACCTTCAAAACAACAGTCACAACTGTACAAAGAGAACAACTACAAGACAACATCAGAAAAAGAAAGAACACATGGATGACAGAAGAAGTCCTAGAACTGATGGACATAAGGAGATCTTACAAAAATCGCAATGAAGAAAAATATAAAGAAACCCAGAGAATCATCCGAAACAAAATCAGAAAAGCCAAAGAAGAATGGATGAGCAGCAACTGTGAGGAACTGGGAGATTTGCTTAAAAAGCATGACTACTTTAATTCATACAAAAAGATTAAGGAAGTCACAAATATGAAGAAAAAAATCGCTACAACAACTTTAGTAGATGATAACAACCAAATATTATCTAGCCCAGAAAATCCAGAGCAATTTGCTGTAGTTATAGCCAACCTTCAGTAATGTAGAAGGCACCTTAAAAAGAAGGTAAAGACATAAGGACTATCACGAACTTGTGTTGAAACCAGTCTCATAAAAGTCGAAAATATAACAACATTGGATATTAAAATTATCGAAGGAGTCAGACAGAGATGTATATTGTCGTCACTCCTGCTCAATTTATATTCTGAATCCATTTTCCAAGAGGCCTTAGAAGATATAGAAATGTGAATAAAGGTGAATGAAAAACCTATTAATAACATCATTGAAACATCAATCAAAATTATGGTCTTAAAATAAATATAAAAGAACAAAATTCATGGTCATCAGCAAACGTGATATAGACAAAATGTTCCTGAAGAGCCTCCGTTTGGGTGTGCGGAGGAGGACTATTTCAGGAGAAACTCCATTACAGGTTAGAAAAATCAGGATAATCTTGGAATCTCAGAAGTCTCACAAGTAAGAATATAGAGTTTGTAGATGCGTTTAAAAGAAGAAGAATACTAATTACCTGCTTCAAGATACTAAGTGAAAGGACAAAGGGTGAAAAACTAGGTAAACGATGCAAAGTGTAAAGTGTAGGGAAAAGTAACAGTATGAGTTGGTATAATTGCATCATAGGGATAAAGGCAAAGACACTAAAGCATAAGTTAAGTACACAAAGCACTAAGCAGAAATTAATACACAGATTAGAGAAAAGAATTTACGAAAAATAATAAAAAATGTGGAAATAAACTGAAAAGGTCTTGATGGAAATAGAAGAAAAAAACCACTAGAATTGGAAATTAGAGCAAAAGTATTTAAACACGGCATTGGAAATTCAACAATTTACACCATGGATCAAATCTCATAAAATCATTTTTTATGAGTTAAAATAGGAAACAAACTGTTGCTCTTTGTTCGTTCAAGTCGTTACAAAGATGTATGTTATGTTACGAGGATTTTAAATCAGAACACGTAAAAGATTAAAACGTAATCTTTCTCACTGGCAAAGCTTATTAATTTTTCATCGAACTGGATTTAAACTCAAATTAAATCTGAGAAAACGAAAGGTGAGTTTAAAGATACCTTCTTTTTTATGTTTACACGATGTAAAGAGCAAAAAGAAAATTAATAAAAGTTTTCTTGATTGATATTGGAACTTCTAACACAAATTAAATTTGTTTGAAATTATCGATTTGATATTTTTATAAAAAAATATCAAATCAACAATGTATGGAGTTCTTAGTTCGTTATTTGTTAGTCAGGCAATTAATAAGAAAATAACTTTCATGTATTATCTAAACATTAAATATTCGGCGCAGTTAAATAATAAGCAGTTAAAAGAAATGCAAGAAGAGACAAAAGGAGACAAAAGAAGATGGACTGAAGAACTGGCAAAACAAGCCGAAATAGCTGCACAACACAATAGAACTAGAGAGCTATACCAAATTACCAGACGTCTAACAAAAAGTGGGCCCAACTGTTCAAACGTCGTAAGATCCAAGACAGGAGAACTACTTACTACAACAAATGACCAAATAGAGAGATGGAAAGAGCATTTTCAGGAGATGCTAGGCACGCCCAGGGATAACGCAGATGAAATTGTCGAAAATCCACAGAATATAGACTTGCGTATATCTTGCGACGCCCCTTCCAAAACAGAGATAATAACAGCTATCAAATCTCTGAAAAATAACAAGTCTCCGGGAATCGATAACATTGCTGCCGAAATGCTTAAAACTGATCCGCATCTAACTGCTGAACTTTTGCTCCCCATAATCCGAGAGGTGTGGGAAACAAACCGCATTCCAGCGGACTGGAAAAAAGGCATCATTACTAAGCTTCCAAAAAAGGGCAACCTCACACTATGCAAAAATTGGAGAGGAATAACCTTGCTTACCGCCATAAATAAAATCTTCACGACCATCATACTTAAAAGATTAACAAACAAGGTTGAATTTCGAGCTAATCAAGTAGGCTTTAGACCAGAATCCTCCTGCATAGACCACATTAATACTGTGAGGCTAATAATGGAACAATCGGTTGAATGGAACACACCCCTATACATGGTTTTTGTTGATTTCGAGCGTGCTTTTGACAGCTTATCTCATGATGCAATATGGAAAATTTTAGAGCTAAGAAACATCCCGCATAAAATAATTTCCATTATAAAGTTACTGTACACTGAAGCGAAATGCAGCGTGACACACAATGGGATCAACAGTGACGAATTTGACGTACTTACTGGAGTCAGACAGGGATGCGTGCTTTCTCCGTTTCTTTTTAACATAGCTCTAGACTATGTTCTCTCCAAACTAGACTCTGACACAAGAGGGATACAATGGACGTTAACCACACGCCTAAGCGATCTAGAATACGCCGACGATATCTGCCTGTTAGGACAAAGGTTCCAAGATGTGGCTGACCAATTGGAAACACTTTCCACTAAAGCCAATAAAATAGGTCTGAAAATCAATATTGGTAAAACCAAATCCATGAGAATAAATGCAAGAAACAACACGCTATTTACCATTAATAACATGCAGATTGAAAATGTGGAAAACTTTACGTATCTTGGAAGTGTCATAACAGAAAGCGGAGGTACAGAAGACGATATTCGTATGAGGATACGAAAAGCGCAACAAGCTTTCAGCATGCTCAACCCTGTTTGGAGGTCTGGAGAATACACTACGAGGACAAAGATCCGCATATTCCAGTCAAATGTCATGTCTGTACTACTTTACGGATGTGAAACCTGGAAAGCGACAAAAACCCTTACAGACAAACTGCAGGTCTTTGTTAATAAATGTCTACGAAGAATTGTTCGTATTTTCTGGCCTAACATGATCAGAAACGAAGACTTACTACACCTGACCAAACAAAAGAGGGTAGTAAATGAAATAAAGTCCAGAAAGTGGGGTTGGATCGGTCACACACTCCGAAAAAAATAACTCCAGTATTGCAAAGACTGCCCTAGAGTGGAATCCCCAAGGAAAACGAAAAAAAGGTCGCCCAGTACAAACTTGGAGAAGATCCATCATGGACGAGATAAGAAAACAAGGAAAGTCTTGGAATGAGGTGAAGGCCTTAGCGCAAAATAGAACCCGATGGCGCGTTTTCACTGAAGCTCTATGCTCCACTTAGGAGTTCAAGAACCTTATATATATAAATATTCGGCGAGGAAATACAAAAAATAATAATAATTGAATTGATATTCGTAGAAAACAAAAATTAGAAAGACAGAAAATATGCAGCTAAAATATGTCAAATAAATTATCATATTAAAGAAAAGTATGTTTAAAGCGGTAATATATTAAAGTAAATATATAAATAAAATATTAATAGTTATAATTATAACAATAACTGAACATCAAAACATAACTTACCGAATAGACAGAAGACAAGAGGTGACCACATTTTGACCAATTTGTTGACCGGTCAGAAGTGTGCTTAAGATTTGGAAGATGAAAGTATTTATACTGTAATGTTGCTAATTTAGAATTATTTTTGTTAAAAATTTAATTTTTAACAAAACTGTAGAATGTGTAAGAATTTTAGTCAATGAAAATGGTGCTTAGGATGCACGATACAGGACAGGATTCAGGAAATTTTAATATAGATGCGACTGTGTTTGTCTCAGCTTGAATATTTTAACGTTGGAAAATAATTAACATTTTGTAAAAGTAAATGTAAGAATAAAAAAGGAGATCAAATTAGCCAAAGAAAAACGGATGAGAGAAAGGTGCGACGAAATGGAGGATGTCATATCTAAACACGACTTATTTCATGTGCACAAAAAACTAAAAGAAATGAGTAACATATTTAAAAAACGAGTTCCCTCTGTACTCGTTGAAAATAATAACATGATTGTAAATGGGCACGAAATAAGAAAAGAATGGCAGCTGTATATATCAGAGTTGTTTGAAGATGACAGGAATAATATTGCCGAATTCTAAGAAAACTGTACTGACGGCCCAGAAATTATGAAATGCGAGGTAGAACACGCTATAAATAATACTAAAATTAGAAAAGCTTCTAGTTCCGATGATACACCAACCGAGTTGCTGAAACTAATGGAGAATGATAACATAAAAGTAATAGTAAGACTTTTTAATTCAATTATAACACCGGAGTTATTCCCACAGATCGGCTCAAATCCATCTTTGTCGCAATACCTAAAAAACACAATGCGAGAAAATTCTCAGAATATCGATTAGTTAGCATAATGAGCCACACTCTTAAAATTTTCCTAAGAATACTTCACAACAGAATTAGACGCAAATACGAAGAAGATCTTGAGGATACCTAATTTGGTTTTAGAAATGCTATGGGAACCAGGGAGGCACTTTTTGCTCTTAACATCCTATTACAAAAATGCCGTGACCAAAGAAAAGATGTATTTGCATGTTTCATGGACTTCGAAAAGGTATTCGATAAAGTACAACATGTAAAATTAATGCAGATACCGAAAAATATCGAAATAGATAACAAGGATATTCGTGTCATTAAAAATTTGTACTGAAATCAAACTGCTATCGTAAAATTTGGAGATAACTACACCGATGAAATCTCTATGCAACGAGAAGTCAGACAAGGTTACATTTTATCGCCAACATTGTTCAATATTTGCTCAGACCAGTTATATAAAAAGGCACTTGAGAGATAACCATATGGAGTCAAAATCAACGGGGCACTACTTAATGTGATTAGATATGCAGACGATACAGTAATTTTATCAGATAATAATGACGGTCTTCAAATTCTGCTTGATCGTATTCACGAGGTAGGAGAGGAAATTGGCATTAAAATAAACTCAAACAAAACCAAATTTTTAGTGTTTAGTCGTGACCCACATCCCGATGCAAAGCTTCAATTAAACGGAGTCCAAGTTGAGAAAGTTCACAAAATAACACATTTGGGAACTGTGATAACCGACCAACTAGATCCAGACATAAAATAGCAATGATTAAAACTACTTTTATAAAAATGAAGACATTTCTTTGCAATAACCATCTCAGTGTAGAACTAAGACAAAGAATGGTTAAGTGCTATGTTTGGTCCGTACTTTTGTTTTGTTTTGAAGCATTGGAAATGTGGGTTCATAGACGAATGCTGAAGATACCTTGGACAGCAAGGAAAACTAATGAAGAAGTACTAAGGAGCGTCAACAAAGATAGAGAACTGCTAAAGACTGTTAAACATCGAAAAATACCTTATCTGGGACATACAGTAAGGGGAAGTCGATATAAAATATTACAACAGACAAAATAGAGGGCCGTAGAGGTGTAGGAAGAAAACAAGTTTCTTAGTTTAAAAAACATTTGTGAATGTATTCAGATATCAAATGCAGGACAATTATTCCATATTGCAGAAGATCGAGAAACCTTCGCAATGGTGATCGCCAACGTCGGATAATTCTGATATCGCACGCGAAGAAGAAGAAGAAGAAAGGTATTTTGTTTAACAACTATTTAATTATGCATATTCTCTTTCAGTACAAACACGATGATATAGATACAAAAGTCGAAGGAAAATATCTGTAGAGAAAATTTTCTGAATAAAGGCCTTGCACATAATGTAAGCCTACCAGTGGTGCTATCCAGTAATGCGACCCTTAACTGTCGTTTTTTTAAGTTGTAAACCATTTTCCCTAGCGTGGTTAGCTCTCAGGTTATAGTTTGTGAATACATTTTGTGATTGATTGTTTGTTTTTCAGTTTTCGAATATTTTTTACGAAATTAGTTCAAAATTTTTTGTATAAATATTGCTGTTATATTTTGTTGAAAGGATAGTAGAATTTTGATACCAAAGGGTTATGTATATATCGTTTTCTAGGCAAATCTCTTAGAATTGTAACGTTGGAAAAAATTTTGCAGTAAATCCTTCAAACATGTGTTATTCGAGTATAATCTGGGCCCTTTTCCTGTTGCCAATATGGATCCGGGCCCATATTATGATCATTTGATAATAACGTATGGTCCTAAAGTTTTGGGAAAAATTTCACCTGGTCTGATTGAGAAGCAAAATGCATTTAACAAAGAAGACCATGGAATTGAAATGTCATTAGTTATTGATATTTAATAAACAAAGCAGAATATTTTGGTTTGTACTCTGCAAAATGTCTTATAAGATTGATATTCATCGAGGTGTTTATAATATAGTTGGGCGAATGTCGAAATGGGATATTGTTAATATTTATCGAGATCAAAACATAATCAAATCGACAATTTATCGCACAATCAGAAAATGTGAAGAAGGGATACCGTGTGTTAACTTGCGTACAAGTGGCCGACTGCGGATTTTGAACCGTATAAATATAGGCAAGACTGATTGAAGCAGCTAAGAACAAAATTGGGTTCTCACAGCGAAAACTAACCTGAAGATTTCATGTTGGAAAGACTCGCTAATTCCTAATATATCGATCTCCAGTCGCATCATCTCTTGCTGTATATTTCTCAGTTTCTCAGGTTCATACCAACTTCTTACATTCCATGTGGCGATTTTGCAGGTAGGTTTGTATATATTTAGTGAACAGGGATTTCGCTGGCTGACGACCTGGGAAGCCCTGTCGTTATTGTTGTTTCTCCCCCTGCCGAATCTTGGCATCCGAGAACCAAGAAATAAAGAAATAAATACTACTATTTAGTAAATATTGGCCAGATTAGCACCCTGTGATTTCTATCTGTTCTTAATAATCAGATCCTGCTTAAAATATGAGCCACGGATCATTAAAGAAACCATTGGAGAAAACAGCACTGCTTCGCACAATAGATGGAAAAGATATTGAAGGGGGAACTGAAAAATTATAAGAAACTGCTAAATAAAGATGTTTTACCAAGAGTATCGGAACATAAATGACCTCGTAAATGTAACAGAATTTTGGTTTGTCTCAGTATTTAAAATTAAATTACTAATTACACGTTCATTCGAATTCAAAATATTATTTCCAAAAAACTTAATAAATATCTGGTTATAATAAAATACAACCCTGCTTGTTAGGTATTTGTAAAAAATGCACTATTACCAATTGGTGGAAACATCTTACATTGCATTGATTATTCTCTCAGAGCAAACATCTAGTCAGCAAAATCAGCAAAGATAATAATTGTTATGAATTTTATTTAAAATTAAAATTTTGTTATCTTACATTCTGACCACTAAAGTATTTTATCAGTTTTGTTTTTTATGAAATTGTTTTATCCATTTTATTTTATCCAAGATTTTACCATCAAAATGGTCATTTCAGCCTAAGTTTACCGATTGTTGGTCTTTCTAAGTTTCAGTACCCAATATGAAGAAATCCAGGAGATTTAAATCGCTGTTTTATTGAATGGACAGCAACATCACCGATTTTACTTTCCTGGACTTCCTCATATGTGGTTATTTAAAAGGAAAGATTATAATACCCTAGTAACCCCTAAAATGCACCAAAATGTTCTTCGTGATTTTAAACAGCGACTTTATAACTATATGGATTTGTGGTTGCATACTTATTTTCATATAGGGTAAAAGCACCAATAAATGAACATGTAAGGATAAGATAGACAACTTTTGTATTTTTATAATAACATACACATATTTCAGTGGTCTTTGTGGAAGTTTCTAACACAGAAATAATGAAATTATTATATACTAATTGCCAAATATGATTTTATTATACTCATTTTTTTTTTGGCTTTAGGGTAAATACCCACACAGCCAGACACAAATTTTTAAAAAACAGATACAGGGATTGCACAGGGATTACACTCTTCTAGCCCAGGGGCCGCTCAGGGCATTTTTATAAACGATAAAAGGTAGGCCCCGGACAGATAGGTATGCATACATTAAGGAAAGACATAAGGAATTAACAAAGATGGTTATATTTGTATATTTGTTGTTCTGACGAAAGACAGCAAACAATCGTAAATTTCTTTTTTTTTCTAAAGCAAGAAGATGCAGTATATTAAATGGGCTTTCAATGTTTAATTTTAAAAGTTTACTGAAAAGCTCATTAGATTGAGCTTTATATTTTAAGCAACCAAAAAAGATGTGGTCAAGATCACCGATTTTATTACAGGCTTCGCAAAGATCACTCTCCAGTATTTTTATTTTAAATAAATGTGCTGGATAACATGCGTGACCAAACTTCATTCTGCTGATAGTAGTTATACTTTTTCGACTGTAATCGTACTCATTGTACCAAGGTTTTCTCCTTAATTTGGTTTCAAGTCTGGTGTAACGTGTTGGATTTGTGAAGCTGTACTCTTGCCATAAATAGGAACATTTGTTCATCATTCTCTGTTTTGCTATGATTATTTGTTCGTCTGTAGTTAATTCGTAATTTATTTGTTCCCCCATTACTATGCTTTCTTTGGCAATTTGATCTGCAATTTCATTGTTTGTTATACCTGCGTGTGCTTTGACCCAGAAGAATTTTATATATTTATTCTGATCTTGTAATTGTTT